CTTTAGAGTTTATGTTCTTGTTTTTTTTTTGGATAGTTGTCCTTGTAAAGAGTTTTTGGAGTAGTAAAGGAATTTTTTGATTACTGAAGTATGTTGTAGTAACCAAAAGAAAGAAAAATGAGCAGAGAACAACAAAAAAACTATGAAAGACAGAAAAAGGGAAAAACTACGTGCTACATGATGCAACGTGTATATGCTATTACTTACTATTCGTAATAAAAGTAATAATAGTGAAAAGGACATCAAAAGAAAGAGCTGTGTTATACAAATATTTATTTTATTGACATCAACGTCATCAGCTTTTTTCTCTTCTTGTCTCTTTATAAAGAATATACATATTTAAGAAATTTAATATGGATGAGGTTACGTTAGTAGAAGTTTGTTTTTTTCTGCTGCTCAAAGTAAGAAAAATGTCAGAAGAATGACAGGACCGTTAAATTTTTTTGTTTAATATTTCATTTGTTGTAATATGAATAGAGTTACAGGAGGATTTTTTTTAATATTGAAAGAAATATGAAATAATTTTTGGAATTTATATTTAAAATTATTTCGCAGAAGAACAAAATATTTAAGTTTGTGATTGATATAGGTCGAATAAGATAAATTATGAATTAACTTCAAATCTTATTGAAAGGAGAAACTCCGTAAAGTTCTAAAAATATCAGTTCTTGTTTAGTTCTAGTTCAGTTCAAGTTCAGTTCAAGTTCAGTTCAAATTCAGTTCTAGTTCAGTTCTAGTTCAGTTCTAGTTCAGTTCTAGTTCTGTTCTAGTTCAGTTCTAGTTCAGTTCTAGTTCAGTTCTAGTTCAGTTCTAGTTCAGTTCTAGTTCAGTTCTAGTTCAGTTCTAGTTCAGTTCTAGTTCAGTTCTAGTTCAGTTCTAGTTCAGTTCGTTCTAGTTCAGTTCTAGTTCTGTTCTATTTCAGTTCTAGTTTAGTTCTAGTTCAGTTCTAGTTCAGTTCTAGTTCAGTTCTAGTTCAGTTCTAGTTCAGTTCTAGTTCAGTTCTAGTTCAGTTCTAGTTCAGTTCTAGTTCTGTTCTAGTTCAGTGCTAGTTCAGTTCTAGTTTAGTTCTAGTTCAGTTCTAGTTCAGTTCTAGTTCAGTTCTAGTTCAGTTCTAGTTCAGTTCTAGTTCAGTTCTAGTTCAGTTCTAGTTCAGTTCTAGTTCAGTTCTAGTTCAGTTCTAGTTCAGTTCTAGTTCAGTTCTAGTTCAGTTCTAGTTCAGTTCTAGTTCAGTTCTAGTTCAGTTCTAGTTCAGTTCTAGTTCAGTTCTAGTTCAGTTCTAGTTCAGTTCTAGTTCAGTTCTAGTTCAGTTCTAGTTCAGTTCTAGTTCAGTTCTAGTTCAGTTCTAGTTCAGTTCTAGTTCAGTTCTAGTTCAGTTCTAGTTCAGTTCTAGTTCAGTTCTAGTTCAGTTCCAGTTCAGTTCCAGTTCAGTTCTAGTTCAGTTCTAGTTCAGTTCCAGTTCAGTTCCAGTTCTAGTTATAATACAATTATAATTCGTTTCTATTAAAAAAAATTTACTTTGCAACCAAAAATTAACATTTTAAATGTTTTCAACTTTCAACAACACGCACCCAAAATAAAAAACTTCATTAAATATTATTTCCTAATTATATATTTCTTAAACCAGCCAAATAATTTTATACGCTTTTAAATTTTTAAAATTGTTTTAAACTTTTTAATTAAATGATGATCACTAGACCATAATTATAAAACGAAAAATACATATTTTTTAAGTTGTCTACTTATTTTTGACACACAGCCAAGAAAAAGAATAAAAGAGAGAGAAAAAAATATCCTTAACAATTGAAGGAAAGTAAATTGTATGGATAATGTGCCAAAAAATAAGAAAACAAGAAATATCCCTACAAACATTTGGAAGACAAAACAAAATAATGCATATTTTACAAAAACAAAATACAATGCAGCCGAATCTGCTTGTTAACTAAGTACAGAACACATCTGGATGAGAGTTGGAAGATTGTGTGCATCAACAAACAAAAGTTCTTGCCAAAGTTAGATTAGAATATAGATACTTCGGTGATTAAATATGGTAGCAATTTGAGAGCCTTAGTGCATAAAAGATACTTCTTGGTTACTTCCGTGATAATAAAATGTTTACAGGGATAACGCAAACACACATTAATAATTGTATAAGTGAGGAGTAATTGTGTGTGATGAGAGATGTATGTAAATATAATAGAAATATTGACAAGAACCTTACAAAAGACAGACAAAGAGAGAGCAAAGGGGAGCCTTTCAAAAACAGCAGCAGCAGCAGCTAACTTCCCGATTGACAATCATTAAGTAAATATAAATACAAATACAAAAAAAAAAAACATATATACAAACAAGACACAACAACAAACAAACAAACACAAGTATTACAATAACAAAAACAACAAAATAAAATAAAAAGAAAATATTGTTCATGTACACAAACAATTGAAATTTTCAATGCATTAAGGGCGCTCAAGGGTAAATTTTTTCTTGCTATTATTGTTGTTGTTCATGTGATGCCACTTGCAGAATATGCTGCTTGTTGTTTTGGTTGTTGTATAGTAAAAGACCGCAACAAAAACCTTTAAATTGTACACACAAACATGTAAAATTTTGTAAAATAATTTGTTTGGGATTGAAAAAAGAATAAGAAATATCGAAATTGTACAAAAGTTAAAATGTTCAATGGATACCCAGCAAACATATTTTTAAAGAAATTTAATTGAAATTTAAATGGTATTAAATTTATAGAAAAACTCAGCTTACAATTTAATAAAAAAATAAGAGAGAAGAACGCTATGCAATTCCAATTGAATAACATTTCCAAATGTTTGCTGGGTAACAATTTAAAATCTTCACATATTCATAGTCATTCGTTCTTACTCATAGTAAATAATTTATTTCTTTTTTTTTTCTAATAGACGTCTTTTGAAGTTGATTTTGTTTTCTTTTTTTTTATTCGAATAATTTCATTCCTTAAATACAATTTTCGAAGGCGTAATGCATGTTAATGAACTTGCCTGATGCTAATGATGATTGTGATGGTGCTGCTAATACTGCTGACGACGTTGAGGATGGTGCGGTCGTGTTAAAAAAAGAATAATCAACAAAAAAATATTGAACACAATAGTACTTGAGAAAAAATAAATCAAAGGCGAAAGTTCTCTAATGATTAGGGCAATTTGTTTGGCTAAATGATTTTGGTATAGAGTAATTGAAAAATTTATACAATTTGTGTACAAGGAAAATGGTCAAATGTTATAGTTTGAAATCAATAGTTAAAAAAACTGCAGCCTTCAGTTGAGGGTTTTTTTAAATAAAAAAAAAACTATAAAATAATTTCAGTAATATGTTTTATTTAAAAAAATAAAATACCAAAGTTTTTATTTTTTCTCTAATCAAAATAACTTTTACTTTGTTGTACCCAATCTCTTTAAATTTAATTTTACAATTAATTATTTAACTTTTTATTTTTAGTTTTAACAATCAAATCAGTTCTATTTCAGTTCTAGTTCTGTTCTAGTTCAGTTCTAGTTCAGTTCTAGTTCAGTTCTAGTTCAGTTCTAGTTCAGTTCTAGTTCAGTTCTAGTTCAGTTCTAGTTCAGTTCTAGTTCAGTTCTAGTTCAGTTCTAGTTCAGTTCTGGTTCAGTTCTAGTTCAGTTCTAGTTCAGTTCTAGTTCAGTTCTAGTTCAGTTCTAGTTCAGTTCTAGTTCAGTTCTAGTTCAGTTCTAGTTCAGTTCTAGTTCAGTTCTAGTTCAGTTCTAGTTCAGTTCTAGTTCAGTTCTAGTTCAGTTCTAGTTCAGTTCTAGTTCAGTTCTCTAGTTCAGTTCTAGTTCAGTTCTAGTTCAGTTCTAGTTCAGTTCTAGTTCAGTTCTAGTTCAGTTCTAGTTCAGTTCTAGTTCAGTTCTAGTTCAGTTCTAGTTCAGTTCTAGTTCAGTTCTAGTTCAGTTCTAGTTCAGTTCTAGTTCAGTTCTAGTTCAGTTCTAGTTCAGTTCTAGTTCAGTTCTAGTTCAGTTCTAGTTCAGTTCTAGTTCAGTTCTAGTTCAGTTCTAGTTCTAGTTCAGTTCTAGTTCAGTTCTAGTTCAGTTCTAGTTCAGTTCTAGTTCAGTTCTAGTTCAGTTCTAGTTCAGTTCTAGTTCAGTTCTAGTTCAGTTCTAGTTCAGTTCTAGTTCAGTTCTAGTTCAGTTCTAGTTCAGTTCTAGTTCAGTTCTAGTTCAGTTCTAGTTCAGTTCTAATTCAGTTCTAGTTCAGTTCTAGTTAAGTTCTAGTTCAGTTCTAGTTCAGTTCTAGTTCAGTTCTAGTTCAGTTCTAGTTCAGTTCTAGTTCAGTTCTAGTTCAGTTCTAGTTCAGTTCTAGTTCAGTTCTAGTTCAGTTCAGTTAGTTCAGTTCTAGTTCAGTTCTAGTTCAATTCTAGTTCAGTTCAAGTTCAGTTCTAGTTCAGTTCTAGTTTTGTTCTAGTTCTGTTCTAGTTCTGTTCTAGTTCTGTTCTGTTCTGTTATGTTCTGTTTTGTTCTAGTTCTGTTCTAGTTCTGTTCTAGTTCTGTACTAGTTCTGTTCTAGTTCTATTCTAGTTCTATTCTAGTTCTGTTCTAGTTATGTTCTAGTTATGTTCTAGTTCTGTTCTATTTCTGCTCTAATTCTGTTCTAATTCATTCTTACATATTATTGAAAACCCTTCCCTTAATCTGCCTTTCAAAAAAAGTAAAGACTCTTCACTATATTATCATTAACAAAATTGATTGCATAGCAAAAATTAAAACCATGTTGTATGAATTTTAGTTATTTTTCTTCTCTAAATTAAAAATACAACAATTTGTTTTTGTCTTAAGCAACTACAAAAACAATAGATAATAACAAAATAATCTAAAATAGTAGTAACGAAAACACACATACCCTTGTAGTTAAAATAACAAAAAACTTATCTAAACTACAGCAATTTTGGTATATGTATAAGGTAAAGGAAAAATAAAATAAAACAAAAAAAAAAACAAAAATGTTGTACTTACCATTTTTTAATTGCAAACTAACGCCAACACAGCTCGTTAAAATTAAATATAAAACTAAGATAATGAAACGTAACGATGTGCAGTTAAAGGTGTTGCTCCAAGTTGTAATAGAAATTTGTGTTGTTTTTGTTGAAGCTGTTACTGCGGCTGCTGCTGCTGCTACTGTTGTTGTTCTTATTTTTGGTGTACATGATGTGGTTGTAATGGTTGTTGTTGGTTTAATGACGGTACTAAGGTGTTTTTTGTTATTGGCAGATATGGTGGAGGTGGTGGTAGTTGATGATGTGGATGTGTTGGAATTGCTGTTATTGGAAACGCAAAAACAAGATAAATTTGTTTCATTACATGATGACAATGTTGTTGTTTTTGCTGCAGTTGTTGTTAATGGTTTTAATATGGTGGAAATTTTTTGTTGCGGCAAATACTTTTTATTAGTTGTTGCAATTAAATGTGTACATTTTGTCACATTTTGAGATTTTATTGTATTTTTATGTATTTTAAAATTGCTAATGACCTCCTTATTTAGCTCCTCCTTCTCCTCCACTTCCTTGTCGTTTGCTCGATTCAGCTCGTTGTTATGGTTGCTCTTTGACTTTTGTAAATTTGACAATTTATGGCAATTTAAAAGTCTTAAAGCCAAAATATTTGTGGCAATTGTTGCTGTCGTTGATGTGGATGTTTTTGTTGTTGATAGATATGACTTATTGTCGTCGTAAGCCATGGCTTACTAAATTGTAGGCCTTTTAAGCCAGCCAATTTGTTGTTTTTTAGTTGTTACTTGTCAATTTTGTAAAAAAAATTATGTTTCGTTTCAATTTAAGTAGAATTCTTTAAATACATTTTTTAAAACGACTTTTTAGTTTTTTTGATCTGTAAAATAAATTTAGTTGGAAACTGTTACATTAATATTTATCCAAAATAATTAGTTGTATATTTTTTAATTATGAGTATTTTTTATTTAATATTTTCTCTAAAACTTCTAATATTCTAATATTTAATTTTATTTTTTTTTTTTTTTACCAACGTTTAATGTTTGTCTTTTAGCTATGTGTGTTTACTTTAGCAGCTTTTCCAATTTGCTGTTAAATATTACTAAATAGTGAACGTTGTCGCCTTTTGGCGGCTTTAGTTCAAAGTGAAATGTTTATGGTGTGTGTGTGATAAGCATATTTAAACATTGATAAATAAGAAAAAAAAATTGCTACAATTTATTAATTTTGTTTACTTTATTATTTGCGTGATCTATAAAAGATCGAGTTTATTTTTTCGTGTTTAATAAAAAATAATTTACTTGAATTGAAAACACAGGTCGAGGTAAATTTTTATTTTGTATGTAGGAAGAAATTAACTTAATGCTTTTTACATTCTATTAACAAACACAATTTGTATAAAGTTAAATTATCATAATATAGAACTATATTTTCTAGTTCAGTTCTAGTTCAGTTCTAGTTCAGTTCTAGATCAGTTCTAGTTCAGTTCTAGTTCAGTTCTAGTTCAGTTCTAGTTCAGTTCTAGTTCAGTTCTAGTTCAGTTCTAGTTCAGTTCTAGTTCAGTTCTAGTTCAGTTCTAGTTCAGTTCTAGTTCAGTTCTAGTTCAGTTCTAGTTCAGTTCTAGTTCAGTTCTAGTTCAGTTCTAGTTCAGTTCTAGTTCAGTTCTAGTTCAGTTCTAGTTCAGTTCTAGTTCAGTTCTAGTTTAGTTCTAGTTCAGTTCTAGTTCAGTTCTAGTTCAGTTCTAGTTCAGTTCTAGTTCAGTTCTAGTTCAGTTCTAGTTCAGTTCTAGTTCAGTTCTAGTTCAGTTCTAGGTCAGTTCTAGTTCAGTTCTAGTTCAGTTCTAGTTCAGTTCTAGTTCAGTTCTAGTTCAGTTCTAGTTCAGTTCTAGTTCAGTTCTAGTTCAGTTCTAGTTCAGTTCTAGTTCAGTTTCTAGTTCAGTTCTAGTTCAGTTCTAGTTCAGTTCTAGTTCAGTTCTAGTTCAGTTCTAGTTCAGTTCTAGTTCAGTCTAGTTCAGTTCTAGTTCAGTTCTAGTTCAGTTCTAGTTAGTTCTAGTTCAGTTCTAGTTCAGTTCTATTCTCAGTTCTAGTTCAGTTCTAGTTTCAGTTCTAGTTCAGTTCTAGTTCAGTTCTAGTTCAGTTCTAGTTCAGTTCTAGTTCAGTTCTAGTCAGTTCTAGTTCAGTTCTAGTTCAGTTCTAGTTCAGTTCTCGTTTCAGTTCTAGTTCAGTTCTAGTTCAGTTCTAGTTCAGTTCTAGTTCAGTTCTAGTTCAGTTCTAGTTCAGTTCTAGTTCAGTTCTAGTTCCGTTCTAGTCAGTTCTAGTTCGTTCTAGTTCAGTTCTAGTTCAGTTCTAGTTCAGTTCTAGTTCAGTTCTAGTTCAGTTCTAGTTCAGTTCTAGTTCAGTTCTAGTTCAGTTCTAGTCAGTTCTAGTTCAGTTCTAGTTCAGTTCTAGTTCTAGTTCATTCTAGTTCAGTTCTAGTTCAGTTCTAGTTCAGTTCTAGTTCAGTTCTAGTTCAGTTCTAGTTCAGTTCTAGTTCAGTTCTAGTTCAGTTCTAGTTCAGTTCTAGTTCAGTTTAGTTCAGTTCTAGTTCAGTTCTAGTTCAGTTCTAGTTCAGTTAAGTTCAGTTCTAGTTCAGTTCTAGTTCAGTTCTAGTTCAGTTCTAGTTCAGTTCTAGTTCAGTTCTAGTTCAGTTCTAGTTCAGTTCTAGTTCAGTTCTAGTTCAGTTCTAGTTCAGTTCTAGTTCAGTTCTAGTTCAGTTCTAGTTCAGTTCTAGTTCAGTTCTAGTTCAGTTCTAGTTCAGTTCTAGTTCAGTTCTAGTTCAGTTCTAATTCAGTTCTAGTTCAGTTCTAATTCAGTTCTAGTTCAGTTCTAGTTCAGTTTAGTTCAGTTCTAGTTCAGTTCTAGTTCAGTTCTAGTTCAGTTCTAGTTCTTCTAGTTCAGTTCTAGTTCAGTTCTAGTTCAGTTCTAGTTCAGTTCTAGTTCAGTTCTAGTTCAGTTCTAGTTCAGTTCTAGTTCAGTTCTAGTTCAGTTCTAGTTCAGTTCTAGTTCAGTTCTAGTTCAGTTCTAGTTCAGTTCTAGTTCAGTTCTAGTTCAGTTCTAGTTCAGTTCTAGTTCAGTTCTAGTTCAGTTCTAGTTCAGTTCTAGTTCAGTTCTAGTTCAGTTCTAGTTCAGTTCTAGTTCAGTTCTAGTTCAGTTCTAGTTCAGTTCTAGTTCAGTTCTAGTTCAGTTCTAGTTCAGTTCTAGTTCAGTTCTAGTTCAGTTCTAGTTCAGTTCTAGTTCAGTTCTAGTTCAGTTCTAGTTCAGTTCTAGTTCAGTTCTAGTTCAGTTCTAGTTCAGTTCTAGTTCAGTTCTAGTTCAGTTCTAGTTCAGTTCTAGTTCAGTTCTAGTTCAGTTCTAGTTCAGTTCTAGTTCAGTTCTAGTTCAGTTCTAGTTCAGTTCTAGTTCAGTTCTAGTTCGTTCAGTTCTAGTTCAGTTCTAGTTCAGTTCTAGTTCAGTTCTAGTTCAGTTCTAGTTCAGTTCTAGTTCAGTTCTAGTTCAGTTCTAGTTCAGTTCTAGTTCAGTTCTAGTTCAGTTCTAGTTCAGTTCTAGTTCAGTTCTAGTTCAGTTCTAGTTCAGTTCTAGTTCAGTTCTAGTTCAGTTCTAGTTCAGTTCTAGTTCAGTTCTAGTTCAGTTCTAGTTCAGTTCTAGTTCAGTTCTAGTTCAGTTCTAGTTCAGTTCTAGTTCAGTTCTAGTTCAGTTCTAGTTCAGTTCTAGTTCACTTCTAGTTCACTTCTAGTTCAGTTCTAGTTCAGTTCTAGTTCAGTTCTATTTCAGTTCTAGTTCAGTTTAGTTCAGTTCTAGTTCAGTTCTAGTTCAGTTCTAGTTCAATTCTATTTTTTACACAGATAGCAATGTTTACTGTTAAAACTTCAGTTGATAAAAACAAGTTCCGTATTATTTGCCTGGGCCGGGAGAATTTGAAATCAACTCTAAAATAGACGAACATAGTCGAAGTTTTATCTACAACTCCCAAACAATGGGAGAAAAGAAAAAATTAGGCAATTTAGGTCTTTAAATCAAAATTTAAGGCAAAATCTTTTAAACACTTTTAAAATACACAACATTCATTTACCTGCTTCCAGACATGTGCTTTTATAAATCATTCACTTGTAAATCACTATTCACTTAGAATTTCTAATGCATTTTCCCAATTACAATTGTACACATTTCACATATAACTATTTGTTGTATCAAATTATTAGTTATTAATACATTTCCACAAATCTTGCTTAAAAAACCAATGAACTGAAGAAGAACTGAAAATGTCTGACCCAATATTAACAAAATATAAAAAATCAATAGTAACTAACACAAATTGCACTTCTGCATGTCTGCACCGAGAATGCAAAAAACCAGAGTAGTAAATTAAAGTCAACAACACACAAATCTCAAACCAAACAAGGAGGTACTACGAGACGTCAGACGTGTGGTGCTCCACTTACTTTGGAAAAAATTTTAATTGTAATAAGATTGTAAACTATAAATGTTGTAAACAAACCAATTAACTTTAAACTTTTGTATAACTTTACAAAAAATAAGTAAATATTATTATAAATAAAAAAACAAACGTACGCCCTTTAATGGAGTTTCCAACGAACACCACATCAAAACAAACACAAAGAAAACACACCGAAATCTAAAAAAAATACAAAAGAAAAGCGCGATTTTTCTTAAGAACTCCTCGTCCACAGACAAAATAATAAAAATTCAATAAAATTTTCAACTGAATTTTGTTAAAGAGGAAGAAACAACAAGAATTAAACACACAAACAAAACAAATGAATGTCATGATAAAAATAAACAAAAAAAAAATACTTATGCATTTAAAGAAAAACAAACAAAACAACAATAAAAATATATAACAAAAGAAACTAAACAAGAAGAAACAACACAGAAACAAACAGGAATAACAAATAAAAAAAATTGTAACACACACATGAATGAAAGCACAAAGAAAAAAAGAGAGTAACAAAGAAAACACCAGAAAATTAAGACCAAAAAGAAACAGGCAAAAACAAAATATTTTTACTGATTTTTGATGAAAAATACTTTAGTTATTAAAAACATATTAATGTAACTTATTATTCTAACAATATCACACCTTTTTTAGTTATTATTTAAGCTAAAAATCTATTTTGTTGCTTTTCTTTTCACTTAAATTGCTGTAATGTGATTTTTGCTTATTTTGTTTTGTCTAGATTTTCGTTTGTTTTAATTAAGAATGCTGCGGCATTTTGTTTTAGTTTTTTAGACTTTAATTTTATCTTATTTTAATATTTATTGACACTTAACACTTTTATTGATAGAAATTAATATAACAGTTTGATTTTTTGTTTATATATCCGATATTAAATTCTTATAGTTAGATTTTTTATTACAATTAAACGCGTTTCTTAAAACGACCGCAAACTCTCCGAAAACGTTGTTGACTGAACGACACAAAAAACAAGACTGAATGAAAATTGTGCACGAAACAAATGTCAGAATTGAAATTTTTAAGAAAATGTTAACAAAACAAGTGTCAGAAAAGAAGTTGAAGGATTGGCTGTTAGTGATGATAAACAGCAGATAACACAAATTTTAAGGTTTTTTTAGTGATGACACAAGGTTTTTGTGGAAAAAAATGTTTTGAGCGAACATGGAGTTTTTCTTTGAAAAATAAAAGAAAAAGTGTGGAAGTGGTGTGATAAAAATGGATAATTTATTATTTAAAATATTATTTAAGAGTATAATGGTTTTTGTTTTCATCCTAAAAGTATGCTGTTGTTTCTCATTTTATAAGCTCAACGCTAAAAGTCAACGTATTCATTGTGTTTCCTTACATTAAAAACTGTTTATTTATACAATGCTATCAGCTGCACTTTAGCCAATTTTCAAACCAAACATTAAAAAGAGGTCGCTCATATGTCATAACAGAGAGACATCTGATAAAAACAACTCACAATGAAACTAACCAACACTAATATCAACACTATACAAATGTAAACAAACAATTAAAACATTTTGCAACACTAAATAAATAAAAAGCGGGTCTTTTTAAGTAAATTTATTTATTTCTCTTTATGATAATAAGAAATTAAGAAAGAACATTTTCAATAAAATTAGTAAATCCAAATAAAAATGACTAAGGTAATGCAAAGAAAACCGGGTCCTAAATCTGTTAAGCAAAGTAAAATATTTAATAAACGTGGCACTTTAGGCGAAACCAGTGCCGAATCCTCCGAAGAGGATGATAGCAGTCCAGAACAAACTTTGGATAACAAGAGTCAACAAGCTGCCATAACACCAGAATCTCGCATTATAAGTAGATCCCATATAGAGGCGGCAAATGCTTCAGAATTTCGTACACCCGATACGGAAAATGATGTCACCGATTATGGTTTGGAATTTACCACCAGTCACATACAAAATCCCTCACCAAGAAGATGTTCTACCTTGAGAACTGCTCCTAGTTCGCAGGAGGAATTGCAAAGTGGCATTCACCATAGTAAAGCTGCCATTAAAGGTAAAATAATCATCCATTAGATTCAACAAATTGTTTTCTATTGTCTTGCTTTTTATACAGAAAATGAAACCCCACGTTCTGCCCTTAACAAAACTCCGCCGCCGTCTCAAAAAACAAAACCTGTCAAGAAAGCTACCGCTAAACAAAAGAAACTAAAAGGCACACCAAAACCTAAAGAACCACTTTCAAGTGCCAAAGAAACTCCTGCTGATAAAACAGAAAATACACAACAAGTTGCTAGGAAACCACGAAAACGACCCAATCCCATGCAATTGGAAAAACGTTTCTGGAAAGATGTACAAAATCTTCAAAATAGAACAGACCATCTTATACCTATGCTGCCATTTTCACGTTTAGTAAGAGAACTCATGCATGATGCCTCTACCGAAGTATTTAAAATTACACCCACTGCATTGGAGGCTTTACAGACATCATCGGAATTGTATTTGACACAACGACTGCAGGATGCCTATATGTTGACGCTGCATAGAGGGAGGGTGACACTGGATGTTAAGGATATGGAATTGATAAATTATTTGAAAATTAATTTATAACATTTACAGTGGAAATATAGTTATTAGAAATATGCTACATGTGCGATATAAAGTCAAAAAAGTACTTTTCATAATGCTCTCGAAAAGTTTTTTTCCAAACATTTTCTTTTCATACATTTTTTCTATATTTACAATTCACTTTTATTTCGTATCCTTTTTTATGCGTTTCTTTAGATTTAAGTAAAAATAGAAAAAATCACCAACAATTCAGTTTTATTATTATTATTTTTTTTACACATAAATGTTTTCCATGTTGTAATAATTGTTTTCTTTTTAATAATTATTTGGTTTAATATAACGATTTTTCTGTTTAAATTTGTTTTGTTTTATTTACTTTAATTGTAGCACAAAGATTTACTAAAATGTATTAAAGTTTTGTTTTTTTGTTATATTTACGCTCATTATCATTTTTTTGTTTATTATATTGTAATAAATTCTAAACTAAATAAAAAGTTACTATTATTTGATTCATTTCATTAAATTATTTGGATTTCGGTTTTTAATTGAAACACTCACACATACAATATACAAAAGAAAGGCAAAAAATAATCATCATGATGATGATGATAAATTCTAAAATTAACATTAAAATGATAATAATAATTATTAATAAAAAAGAAAGGAAAGGAGTTGGAGTAGAAGGAACCATCAACTAACAACACTCAAAGTGCGTCCACATCTTCGCCCACATCATTGTTGACATTCGAAAGAGATTTTTTGTTTTTATGTTTTAAAGGGGGATTAGTGCCCTGATTGACAGTCTGCACACCTTTGGGCTTTGAACCATGATTATTAGTTTGGCCTGATTTTGTGGCATGCGATTTACTAGCTCCAGCACCCTTGGCGGGATAGGGTATGGTAAAGAGTTGTATATGCAAATGAGCACAAATTTCCAAGCATACCTGTTGGAGACGAATTAGACAAAGTTTTAGTTTATTTTGGTCGACATTATCTTGCGAATCGTATTACTTACTTGAGAACAGTATCTGATTAAATCTTGAGTACCCCATATCAAAGTAAACCAAAGCAGCCAAATTTCAGGCACCACACAATTGAAATATTGATTAAGGAACAGCAAAGCAGGACCCAACAAAGACCAATCCAAATATTCCATTTCAGCCTTAGTCATATGGGCGATCTTTTAAATGAAAAACAATATTAAATTTAAAATTAAATAAAATTATAGTTAAAGATTTTCTCTATACTCACCACTAATTTATTAGTGACTTTAGCGGCCACCATACCGAATGCAACTATATACAAAGACGAATGTTCGGTGAAAATATTTTCGGGCGATTTTTGAGCAATTATAAATGCAGGCAATACTACCAAAGTCAATGGTATACTAGGCGATAAAACACTAGTACCCTGTATAGATGACACAGTCGGAGGACAGCCGGTAGACAAGTTGAATTAAATAGAAAATTATAATATATTAGTTTTTGTTTAAAGTTTTTTTATTGTGAATTTAAACACAAAAACAAAAGGGTTTGAAAATGAAATGTTGTCCAGGTATTTTTAGCGAATTGATTTCAATATTTTTTATTTTTTAAATTGGAAAATATTTAAAATTAAATTTTACAAGTATTTACATAAAATTTTTTAAGAATTAATAAAAATCAAGGATTATTCGCGATTTTTTTTTTAAAATGACAAAATGATTTTTTTGTTTTCTTTGGAAGATTTTCAAAATCTTGAAAAAGAATTTCTTGACTTTGTTTAAAAAAGCTTTAATTTAGAAATTTGACTTAATTCCAAATTTAAAATAATTTTTAAAAAATAATAAAAATTTGAGATTTTTTACAAAATTTAAGTTTTGCGGCACTTTTTCACACATTTCAATTTCAAACCTTTTTCTTTTTTTTACAAAAACATGAGACTAAATTTAAAATCTTTTGGCTTTTTTAATTGTTAATTACTTAATAAACAGGGAGTACAGGGGTGGTGATATTGATTGAGCTTGTTATATAAAGCTTTTTGTATTATTTTTAAGGTGTTAACAAGTTTAGGTGAAAATTAAGAGAAAAAAAAAACTATTAATTAAAAAAGTGTTAAAAAAAATATGGGAAAAAAGTGAATGAAACAGTTTTTTTAGTAATAAGACACAAAAATAAATGCAGTTGAAGGATAAAGGTGTGAGTTATACAACAAAAGGTTAAAAGTTAAAACAAAACAAGACACAACAAATAATTACACAAAAACTTAAAATATAAATTATAAAAGTTAATAACGTAATAAAAATATAAAAGACCAAAACCCCAAAATTTTAATTTTAAGACAAAGTTAGTTAGTTATTAGATAGACTAAAGACATTCCTTGTATTTTACTCAAAAATATAAACTACTTTGGTGTAAAGATTTGTTTATAGAAAAAACCTTACAACTAAAGTTTTATAAAAGTTAAAGAATTGTAAATTATGCAATTTACTATTGAAACTAGTGGATAATGAATAAGTTTGTATATACATTTATGTGTGTACGTCTGTAATTTGCTGTCTTCTATTGAGTTTTTTTTTTTTAATAACATAATGTTTGCTGTGTTTGTGTGGAAAAACAAATAAAAAATCTACAGCTCTATTTCTTTAGAAGAGAAATTGCAAATCGGAAAGTTATTAAGAAATTTCAATAAACTTTTCTCCTTACACTAGGTGACTAGACTATAGACTAGACTATAGACTAGACTATAGACTAGACTATAGACTAGACTATAGACTAGACTATAGACTAGACTATAGACTAGACTATAGACTAGACTATAGACTAGACTATAGACTAGACTATAGACTAGACTATAGACTAGACTATAGACTAGACTATAGACTAGACTATAGACTAGACTATAGACGACTATAGACTAGACTATAGACTAGACTATAGACTAGACTATAGACTAGACTATAGACTAGACTATAGACTAGACTATAGACTAGACTATAGACTAGACTATAGACTAGACTATAGACTAGACTATAGACTAGACTATAGACTAGACTATAGACTAGACTATAGACTAGACTATAGACTAGACTAGACTAGACTATAGACTAGACTATAGACTAGACTATAGACTAGACTATAGACTAGACTATAGACTAGACTATAGACTAGACTATAGACTAGACTATAGACTAGACTATAGACTAGACTATAGACTAGACTATAGACTAGACTATAGACTAGACTATAGACTAGACTATAGACTAGACTATAGACTAGACTATAGACTAGACTATAGACTAGACTATAGACTAGACTATAGACTAGACTATAGACTAGACTATAGACTAGACTATAGACTAGACTATAGACTAGACTATAGACTAGACTATAGACTAGACTATAGACTAGACTATAGACTAGACTATAGACTAGACTATAGACTAGACTATAGACTAGACTATAGACTAGACTATAGACTAGACTATAGACTAGACTATAGACTAGACTATAGACTAGACTATAGACTAGACTATAGACTAGACTATAGACTAGACTATAGACTAGACTATAGACTAGACTATAGACTAGACTATAGACTAGACTATAGACTAGACTATAGACTAGACTATAGACTAGACTATAGACTAGACTATAGACTAGACTATAGACTAGACTATAGACTAGACTACTAGACTAGACTATAGACTAGACTATAGAATTGACTATAGACTAGACTATAGACTAGACTATAGACTAGACTATAGAATTGACTATAGACTAGACTATAGAATTGACTATAGACTAGACTATAGCCTAGACTATAGACTAGACTATAGACTAGACTATAGACTAGACTATAGACTAGACTAAGACTAGACTATGGACTAGACTATGGACTAGACTATGGACTAGACTATGGACTAGACTATAGACTAGACTATAGACTAGACTATAGACTAGACTATAGACTAGACTATAGACTAGACTATGGACTAGACTATAGACTAGACTATGGACTAGACTATAGACTAGACTATAGACTAGACTATAGACTAGACTATGGACTAGACTATGGACTAGACTATAGACTAGACTATAGACTAGACTATAGACTAAACTATAGACTAGACTATAGACTAGACTATAGACTAGACTGTAGACTATTGACTAGACTATGACTGTACTATGACTACACTATAGACTAGACTATAGACTAGACTACAGACTATACTATATACTAGACTATAGATTAGACTATAGACTAGGCTAAAGACTAGACTATAGACTAGACTATATATTAGAATATAGACTAGACTATAGACTAGACCATAGACTAGACTATAGACCAGACTATAGACTATACTATAGACTAGACTATAGACTAGACTATATATTAGAATATAGACTAGACTATAGACTAGACCATAGACTAGACTATAGACTAGACTATAGACTATACTAAAGACTAGACTATAGACCAGACTATAAACTAAACTATAGAATATACTATAGACTAGACTATAAACTAGACTATAGACTAAACTAAACTGAGAAATCAAATAGTGTAAACTCCGCTATAGTTAAGTTTCTTAAAACTTTTCAATTTGCTGCATTTAAACTAAAAGAGCTGTTTAATTTTTTATTTGTAAAAAAAGGCTGTTTCAAGTATAATTTTGTGGGTGTAAACAAATAAACAATAATAATTTAAACAAAATTTGTAAGTGTAAATAATAGTGTAGTGTTTCATTAGGTGTTAAACAATTTCAAATTTCAGTTTTAAAAAAGTGTAGAGTGTGTGTGTGTAAAATGTTTTCACTAAAACTAAATATGAAACGAAATAAACAGTGTTTTGTAAATTAAATTAACTGTAGAAAACAAAAATGGAAAATGTCTTGATTTCTAACACACACATACACTTAATAGAGAAAAAAAACACTTAAATATTTTTATTTAAAACTAAGTATAAAAAAAGAAATACAATTCTTTTTTTTTCAATTATAATTAATAGAAAAATTCTCTTACAGCCACTGAAGATCCATTTTTTCCACATCCTTCAGTTGTTATAACTTTGGCATAACGTAAAGCTAATAAAATATCAATGCCACAGGCAAAATATAAAGGCATTATGCGTAATTCACAGCCAACATAAGGTAGCTATAGATAAATTATACATCCAATTTGTTTCGTTTTTTGTTTGTTTTTGGGTTTAAATTTATAATTGTTAAAAAAAATTAAATAAAATCAGTGTGATATAAATTTTTGTCTTTACTTTTTTTTTAACAAAAAGAAAAAGATAAACTTAAAAAAATATTTATAATAAATTTTGTTAAATAATAAATAAAATATAATTTTTAAATTTCCAGAAGATCGTAGTTAAAAATTAAAAATATGTATATAAAAAGCAATCTAATTAGAACAGCAATTATCGTTTATCGAATTCTAGAGACAACAATTTACAGGAGTGATAATAAAAGGTTTTTAATGTATTTTTGTATGTTTAAATTAAAAGCATTATATAAATTTTTAAATTTTTTAATTTAAATAAAAATTTCTCTAAAGTCTATAGTTACCATCATCTGGCTGTTATAATTAAGTATTTTAAGTTTTTTTTTTAAAGATTCCAATTTAGTTAATAACTGAAAATAACTGCTTGTTTCTAACACTTTGAATTGTGGACGAGTTATTTTTTTCAAATATTCATTCTAGAACTAATTTGTATCTTAATTAAAATTTCTCTTTTACAGAATTTTTATTCTTTGAGATACTTTATTAAATCACAAAAAAAGCTTAGTGTTAAATATTAATGAACATTATGGGTTGTAGTTATATTAAAATTCAAACAATTTTGGTCCTTCGAACCACATTCGAAAATCACAAAGTTTCTTTGTCTAAAGAGAATCGATGTTAAATATTGATTCCTAACATCCTTTGATTATATAATCTATAATAATAATTCACCTTCTAATTCTACGGAATAATATTTTGGTCCTTCGAACCACATTGAAATATCACAAAGTTTAACAATTCTAAGAAATTATAAAGATTCTTTGTCCAAAAAGTCTAAAATTTATAAGAAGAAATTGATAAAATAAAGAAAATAACAGATTTTTTTGATATTAAATCCTCACTTTTGCTATTATACTTGGTCCTTCGAACCGTACAGTTATGTTTCATATTAAGAAATATGTTTAATATGAAGAAAAATAGATAAATTTAATTGTTGAAAAGAAGTAAAAAAAAGATAAATGAAATCAAGAGAACTTAAAATAAAATCAATTTGATTTCTGATTAATTGAATTAATTGATTAAATAAACAATTAAATTTTCGAAATTGTATACAAAAAAGTTTTGTTGGTCCTGCGAACTGTAGTCTTTTTTATACTCTAATATTTTTAAGAAATGTTTTCAGTAACTAAATAAATTAAATTAACAAAAAAACGAGATTGTTCTTAAAAATATGTTGGTCCTTCGAACCGTAATGTATTTTATAAATGTACGCGAGGGTTGGTCCCTCGAACCGTAGAGACCTTTTGATAATCTAATATTTATAGTATTTTAAACTAATGAATAGATTAAATTAATATGATTGTATGATTGTATTCAAAAATATTTTGGTCCTTCGACCCGTAGAGTATTTTTTATAATAAAATGTGTTGGTCCTTCGTTTCGTAAAGACTTTTTTATACACCTGTATCTATAATAAGTTTTTTCGCGTATTGAATGAGTTAAATGCCCACAAATATGTTTTGGTTCTTCGAACCGTAGTCTTTTTAAAATCAAATGTGTTGGTCCTTCGTTTCATAAAGTCTTTTTTATACACCAGTATCTATAAAAAGTTTTTTTTTTGCATATTGAATGAGTAAAATGCACAAATCTACTCTAAAATATTTTGGTCCTTCGAAGCGTAGAGTCTTTTTGATAATCTTATATTGATACTAAGAGTTTTAAGATAAAGAATAAATCAAATGAATATAGAACAGTGATTATACTCGAATACTTCGAACTGTAGAGTTTTCTTTATAATATTGTTTTTAAAAATGTGTTGGTCCTTCGTACCGTAAAGTCTTTTTATACACTAGTATATATATGAAGTGTTTTCGCATATTGAATGAAATGCACACAAAAAAATCTACACAAAAATAATTTGGTCCTTCGAACCGTAGTCTTTTTGATAATCTAACATTGATACGAAGTATTTTAAAATAATGAATAAATCAAATGAATTTAGAACTGTGATTGTACTCAGAAATGTTATGGTCCTTCGAACCGTACAGTCTTTTTATAGTATTATGTTTATATAAAGAGATTTTACATTAAAAAAGCTATTGTTCTTAAAAATAATTTGGTCCTTCGAACCGTAGAATATTTTTTATGGAAAGAATTAAATGAACTTTAGACCAGAATAGTTGTTGTTGTTCTTAAAAATGTTTTGGTCCTTTGAACCGTAGAGTCTTTTTTATAATATAATATTTATATGAAGGGATTTTTGATATTGAACGACATATGAATAGCTATTTTTCTTAAAAATATATTGGTCTTTCGAACCGTAGTGTCTTTCTTATAATATAATATTTATATGAAAAGATTTTTGATTTTAAACGACATATGAATAGCTACTGTTCATAAAAATGTGTTGGATCTTCGAACCGTAAAAACTTTTTTATTGAATGAATTAAATGAACATTAGACCAGAATAGCTGTTGTTCTTAAAAATATTTTAGTCGTTCGAACCGTAGTATTTTTTATAATATAATGTTTATATGAAGAGAATTTTGATATTGAACGGCATTAGAATAGCTATTTTTCTTAAAAATGTATTGGTCCTTCGAACCGAAGATTCTTTTTTATAATATAATATTTAATACGATTTTTGATATTGAACGACATATGAATAGCTATTGTTCTTAAAAATTATTTTTTTAATTCGAACCGTAAAGTTTTTTTTTATATTGAATGAATGAAATAAACATTAGAACAACGGTTGAACTCAAAAATATGTTGGTCCTTCGAACCGTAGAGTCTTTTTTATATTATAATGTTTATATGAAGAGATTTTTGATACTAAATAACATAAGAATAGCTACTGTTCATAAATATATATATATATATATATATATATATATATATATATATATATATACATATATATGTTGGTCCTTCGAACCGTAAAAACTTTTTTATTGAATGAATTAAATCAGAATAAGAACAGCGGTTGAACACAAAAATATTTTGGTCCTTCGAACCGTAGAGTCTTTTTTATATTATAATGTTTATATGATGAGATTTTTGATACTGAATGACATAAGAATAGCTATTATTCTTCCTTCGTACCATAAATTTTTTTTTATATTGAATGAATTAAATGAACATTAGGTCTTTCGAACTATATAGACTTTTTAATACATCGATATTCAAAAAAAGGTTTTCAAATATTACAATAGAAATTTTAATGCAAAATTTGAGGAAATTAACGTTTTTGCAATCGTTAAAGAAGAAATTCTTATTTGAGAAGATAGTAAACTATATTGTTTAAATTATTTTATTTTAATAATAAAATTCTGATCTATATGTGTTAAATACATCAAAATGATTTCAGATTCATAAAAAATACATAAAATTATATACCTAAACCATTTAGTAACATGTTATAAACCTTATTAGTTTTAAAAATTAATATATTTGCATACATATATTAAAGCTAATGACAGATTATGATAAATTAAATTTATAATGAAAGCTTATAATAATATAAAGTTTTATAATAATAACCCAAAAATGAATTTTAAACAATTATTAAAGTTTTTTTTAGCTAATTTGATTGTTATAACTTTATTAACTTTAATAAATGTTGGCATTTATAGTTAATAATGGAACTTATATTTAAAAAAATACCTAACTAAACGAGATGTTTAAATTATTTTTACTAATAATGGACTAAAGCTATTTAAAACCAATTATTGTTAAAATTAAAACTCAAAGCAGCTTATAGTGGCCTTAACCTTAATTAAAAAGGGTTAAACATTAATGGTAAAAAATTGCATAAATGAAATGGTATTTGGGGTCTAGGCAAGTATGATGATACTCAATCAAAAAACCCAATTGGAGTGGAACAAAAAAATGTAAATGGAAACCGTTTATAAATGTTATTTTTTTAAAAAACTACCAAACACAGGGATTATTAAGGGATATTTAATATATAATGTTTAGTTAAAGGTTTTAATTAGATATAAAGAAACATTAACAAAAAGTTTAGCTAATAAAACGGTTTTTAATAAAAATAATAGAAAATTTAGAAAATTTTTTTTTACATTTGGTTTTTTAAAAACAGTTTTATTAGACAGACTTTTTTATTGAACTTTTATGAAGTTTTTTTAAGGGTGTAGAGGTTATTTGTTAAAGCCTTTGATAGGTGGTTTTTGCAAAATTTTGAATTTTTTTTTATAATAATGTATTTTGTTTTGAATTAATGCTTACAGCAACTGAGGAACCATTTTTGCCACTGCCGCCATGTAGGAAGATTTTGCAAAAATTCGTAAAATTTACAAAATAACAGATAGTTATACCCAATAAAATAATATAATTTTTATTTAAGCCAACAATTGGTAGCTAAATATATGAAAAAAAAAATAAAATAAAAAAGGAAAAATTTTAAGTTTTAATTAAAAAAAAGGTCAATAAGTATGGAATGGGTGGTAGATGTTGTAAACAAAACTTTTCTTTAAAAGTAAAGTTAACAAATAAGTTTCCATTATAATAGTTCCAGGTGTTTGTTTGTTATATATAAATTAATAATAAAAATAAAATAATAATAAATAAACTAGTTTTTAAAAAAATGTTTTTTTTAATGAAACCCTTAGGATGTTGTAGACGAAAAAAACGAACATTTATGATGTATCAGCCGATTTAAACATCCTTACCACAAATTTATTGTCATGTAGATAGATGGCTGTTTTGTGTAGTTGTTCCCTTTAGTTTTTTAAAAGTTAATGACAGTGTAGAGGCTCTTAATAAGTGTTTTATTTAAATCCCTATAATTGTATTTGCTTTTTGTTTAATATAACTTATAATTTTATGTATTTAAAACAGCTAATATTTCTTTATTTAATTGAAATAGTTAGTATATAGTTTTCTTTAATAAAATTTTAATAACAAATTAAAACATAGTTAAACAAATAGCATACTATTATGTATAAAACTAATAAAATCAACTAAGAAGCCTTTTTAAAGGCAGGATAAAGTAAAACAAACTGTCAACATATAAGTCATACTGGGCCTTTAACCAATTTATATAAACAATCTTATGTTTTTTTTTTAACAAAATCAAATTTAAAAAAAAGTAATTTACAAAAGTAGTACTAAAAACATGAGCAAGTTAAAAAGGTTATATAGGGGTAGAGTAAAAAAAAGTAAAGTAAGTTTTAGGAATTAGCAATAAAGGATAATTGGAAAAACTATAATGTTTGTTTAGGTACGTTACTGTTCTGGTTTTAGATTTCAACTATTTAATAAAAAACAATTAGCCAAAAGAAGGTACGTATTTTTTTTTTTTTTTTGTTTATTAAAGTTGGCATTTAAGGGAAAACTTACGGCAACTGTTGAGCCATTCTTGCCAACACCTCCAGCCAAAACAACAGAGAATATATGTGACAATGACCAAATACCACAAACTATTGTCATTAGGCATAAGGAAGACCATAATTCTAAATTACCAAATATCTAAGGGAGGAGTTAGGAGGGTGTATATATATGTAAACATATTTTATAGTTTATGTATGTTGAATAGTATTTTGTTTTAAATAATTTAAAAAGAAAATATACAACATAAAATTTTAGTTAAAATATGTTTAATGTTTTTAAAGGATATTTTTTGTTTTAATTTTTGTAGCGCATTAAGTAAAATTAATTTAAATTATAATTGTTTAATGAAATTTTTTCTTAAAATATAAATTTAATAATCTCCTGGAAATATTATTTTTTTTTTTTTTTTTTGTAAACAAAAGTATTAAAGAATTTGTAATTAAATATAAAAATAATAAATAAAAAATATGTTTTCAAAAAGGCCAAGATATAAACCAATCTAATTTATAATAGACTAGATGGTAAACTAGCTCTAGATAAGACTTTAAACTAAACTCTAAACTAGACTTCAGTCTAAACTCTATACTTTAAAACCGACAATTAACAAAATTTCAGACTAGACTATAAACCAGACTATAGAATAAAATATAGACTAGACTACAGACTACACCAGAGGCTAGACTACAGGCTAGACTATAGGCTAGACTATAGACTAGACTATAGGCTAGACTATAGATTAGACTGTAGACTAAACTATAAACTCGACTATAACCCAAACTATAAACTAGACTAAAGACTAAACAATAAACTAAACTATAGACTAAACAATAGACTATACCATAGACTAAACTGTAGAATATAGACCAAACTATAGATTTGACTAGACTATAGTCTAGAATAGATTAGACTATAGACAAAACTATAGACTAGGCTATAAACTAGACTATAGACTAGACTATAGACTAGACTATAGACTAGACTATAGACTAGACTATAGACTAGACTATAGACTAGACTATAGACTAGACTATAGACTAGACTATAGACTAGACTATAGACTAGACTATAGACTAGACTATAGACTAGACTATAGACTAGACTATAGACTAGACTATAGACTAGACTATAGACTAGACTATAGACTAGACTATAGACTAGACTATAGACTAGACTATAGACTAGACTATAGACTAGACTATAGACTAGACTATAGACTAGACTATAGACTAGACTATAGACTAGACTATAGACTAGACTATAGACTAGACTATAGACTAGACTATAGACTAGACTATAGACTAGACTATAGACTAGACTATAGACTAGACTATAGACTAGACTATAGACTAGACTATAGACTAGACTATAGACTAGACTATAGACTAGACTATAGACTAGACTATAGACTAGACTATAGACTAGACTATAGACTAGACTATAGACTAGACTATAGACTAGACTATAGACTATAGACTAGACTATAGACTAGACTATAGACTAGACTATAGACTAGACTATAGACTAGACTATAGACTAGACTATAGACTAGACTAGACTATAGACTAGACTATAGACTAGACTATAGACTAGACTATAGACTAGACTATAGACTAGACTATAGACTAGACTATAGACTAGACTATAGACTAGACTAGACTAGACTATAGACTAGACTATAGACTAGACTATAGACTAGACTATAGACTAGACTATAGACTAGACTATAGACTAGACTATTCTTAACTCTACACTAAACTTTATACACGTCTATAGAAAAAACTCTAGATTAGTCTCTAGACTAGACTCTATACTAAAATCTAGTCTATACTCTACACTGAACGATACACTAGACTCTAAAGTAGAATAAAATCTCTTCACAAGACTATAAAGTAAACTTTATACTAGACTCTAAAGTAGACTATAGAAAAGATTCCAAACTTGACCCTAGACTAGACACTAGACTTTAAAATGAACATTATATTGTACTTGTCAAAAGACTATAAACTCTATAGAACAGTCTATACCCTAGAATACAGGCTAATCTACAGAATTATATTCAAACAATGGTTTACATCTTAGCTTTTTTGTTATAAAATTAAAATTTTAATAAAAATTATATAAATAAATGTTTTTTTTTTGCGTAAATAAAAATCTCTCAACTTACCTTAGTCATCCAAAATTCTGGACCAAATATAAATGAGATTACATGTATACCCATAATGGTAAATTGTGCCTCAGTTACATCAATTTTGCCAAATCTCAAAGTGCCCGAAACATAGGTTTGCCAATGGGCACAATAAAATAATGAAATAGCACAGAAACACTAAAACAAGAAAAACAAAAACAAATTCCACCAACTGAATCATAAAAATTTGAAGATAATTTCACAAAACTTACCTGGAAGAATAACCAATTTGGATAATGGCCTAATTGACAAGATATGCATGCTGAGAGTGCTACGAATACCGTGGATATGGAATCGCAGCCATGATCAAATAATTCACCCAATGGCGAGGAAGTATTTGTACGACGTGCCTGTTTACCATCTATGGAATCTAAACTTTGATATACAAACAAACCAAAGGCACAAAGTAAACATGTCCATCTTGGGGGTGCAGAAGTGCCTTCTGGACTGTAACTAGAATTTTAAACAAAAAAAAGAATAAATTAATAATTTTTATTATAACAACTTTAGTTAATCTAAATGCTATATATTTAACATATGTCTTTATTAATCCAGGTCATATTCCAATGTTCTATACACATTGTAAATCAATGAACTTTTTATCAAAGTTGTTTTGTGGTCAGAGGAATATATACACCTGTCTTTACTTTAACAAATACATTTTATTTCATATTGTTTGTGAAAATTGAACGGAAATTTTGTTCGTTTTCAGCTATATCTAGCAACTTGTTATACACCTCAATTGTGTTTTAATTAGCAATTAAATAAATAAATAAATAAAAACTAGATCAAAGAACACATTTATATGCACAATATTTCGAAAAGGGCAAGTAAAAGTCAATAGCAAACCGAAATAAAAGAGAATTTTCTTTATTAAATAAATTATTGAATGAATTTCTTTTTATAACCCCCTCAAACAAAAAGAGAAAAATGAAAATTTTTTTGCTGTCTATTAAAAGGGGGTGTTATTTGCTAATAAAAAAGAAGTAACTACAATCTACTTATATCATTTTTAAATGACTGATAATATTTTGCGACATTAAAAAATTTATTGATTGTTTAACAAAGAAAGTCTATTAAACCAAAACAAGTAAAATAAATTTCGAAATATTACATTTGTTATTAAAAACCCCTTTATATTAATAATTTAAAAAAATAAAAACAAAATCTCTTTTGTTTATCTGCTACTGTTGGCGTTGACTACTATAGTAATCATTGTTGCAAAATTTAAATGAATCATTTTGTGGTAATTTATTTAAAAAGGTGTTTTTTATAAATTGAATTATATAAAATACATAAATAAATATAAGTGAGCTAGACAAAATGACGATGACTTTTTATTGGTTTTTATAAAAAAAAAAAAAAAAAAAAAAAACATTCAGTGTAAAATTTTTCTTAATGAAACGTGTTTAACACATGCATGTTTTTTTTATTTTGTAGCTTTAATTGAATCATTTTAATTTAATTTGAACAATAGCAGCCTATAATACTTAATTAAATAAATAATTTTGCTAGTTGTGTGTGAGTTTGCGATTTGTGAGAAAAGATCTCTAAACAGTAAGCTATTGTAATAAATTTAGATTTCTTTAAATAATCAATAAAGTTCAAATAATTTGATACTTTTTTTTTTGGTGATGAACTGTAATAGAAATAATTTATACAAATTATAGCAATTTATTAAGATTTATTTGCTTAACTCTAGAATTTATGAACAATTTTTTAAAAATAATTTAGCTTAAAATGGAATTAAAGGCTGAAATATAGACTATTGTATAGAAAGAACAGCAGACTGGACAGGATACTATACTAGACTATATACAAGACTCCAGACTTAACTATAGACCAGACTATAGACTAGACTATAGACTAGACTATAGACTTGACTATAAACTAGACTATAGACTAGACTATAGACTAGACTATAGACTAGACTATAGACTAGACTATAGACTAGACTATTGACTAGACTATAGACTAGACTATTGACTAGACTATAGACTAGACTATAGACTAGACTATAGACTAGACTATAGACTAGACTATAGACTAGACTATAGACTAGACTATAGACTAGACTATAGACTAGACTATAGACTAGACTATAGACTAGACTATAGACTAGACTATAGACTAGACTATAGACTAGACTATAGACTAGACTATAGACTAGACTATAGACTAGACTATAGACTAGACTATAGACTAGACTATAGACCAGACTATAAACTAGACTATAAACTAGACTATAGACTAGACTATAGACTAGACTATAGACTAGACTATAGACTAGACTATAGATTAGACTATAGACTACTATAGACTAGATAGACTAGACTATAGAACGAGACGATAGACTAGACTATAGACTAGACTATAGACTAGACTATAGACTAGAACTATAGACTAGACTATAGAACTAGACTAATAGACTAGACTATAGACTAGACATATAGAACTAGACTAATGACCTAGACTATAGACCTACTAGACTGACTCTAGAACTAACATAACTAGACTATAGACTATACTATAGACTAGACTATAACGACTAGACTGAGACGAGCTACAGACTAGACTATAGACTAGACTATAGACCTAGACTAATAGACTAGACTATAGACTAGACTATAGACTAGACTATAGACTAGACTATAGACTAGACTATAGCTAGACTATAGACTAGACTATAGACTAGACTATAGACTAGACTATAGACTAGACTATAGACTAGACTATAGACTAGACTAGACTAGACTATAGACTAGACTATAGACTAGACTATAGACTAGTCTATAGACTAGACTATGGACTAGACTATAGACTACACTATAAACTAGACTATAAACTAGACTATAGACTAGATCATAGAATAGACTATAGAAATATAAATCTAACGATTTTAAAAAAGAATTTCACTACAGTCGGATTTACAGACTGAACTGAATACATTTTTTATACTTTACACTTCTTACAAGTCTTTTTCCATTAGAAAACTCATCCCCCCAAAGTGTATTTTCAAAAACTTTAAATCTCACCAGTTAGAAAATAAAACAACCCCATTTTTAAAGTATAAAATCAATACTTCTTTTCTTATATATTATGAAAGTCTTTTTTAAAAATAACGCTAACCATTTATTTAGAAAATAAAAAAACTATAATAAATTTTTAACCTATAAATATGTAAATGATTAAAAGTGCTTTTTATTTCATTAATAATGAGGTCATTTTTGAAAAAGGTTATTTTTCAACCAACATAATTATATATTGAACTTTACATGAACCTATATTTATATATTTAAAAAACATTGTTAATATTTTAATAGTTTAAAGCTGGCTAGAAAAACTAGCTTTGTTGCTATACATATATGGTTATTTAGGTCATTAAGCAAGAATTTCATAAAGTATATATATAAAAAACATAAATTGAGTACAGAATAGTTAAGTTAAACTTTAAAAGAGTATAGAGTAGAAAAGATTATAAAACTAACAAGTGTCTAAAATCTTGTAATAAGATTTCTCATCTACGAAATTTCTATTTTATTCTTATTCAAATAACTGCACTTGTTCCTGATTCGGTGGTATTTAGTTTATTTTTTCTAAAATTTCAAACTAAATTGTAGTCGCCAAGGCCATTTTATTTGTCTTTGATTACCTCTTATAGTTTTTTTCTAACTTATTTATAATCTATTTTAATATTAAAATTGTCTCGTCAGATGTCAGGCAACAATAAAAATGTATATAGTACACTTTGCTACATACAAAAAGTTTGCGACTACTGATAAGAAACTTTATGTTATAATATACATATTTTTTTCTTAGATTATTTCACTGTGCGTATATTTATCGTCAGAAAAAGAAATGTTAACAAAACTGAAAACAACAATAATAAACGTGATGTATTACGTATGCAAATTGAAATTTGAACTTTGACTCTCAACTGGTGACAATAAAAAATTTGATTTTTTTTGTTAGTCTTTAATAAAGATCTATATTTTGAACTAAATTTAATATATGTTTCATGATAAAAAACCATTAGTTATACATATTATTTGTAGTTTTCATAATTTTATATAATATTTTCAATTTTATTTAAAATTATTTGTATTCAGACCATAATAATTGTTAAAATCAACATTTAGCTTTAATTGTTGGTTTTAATATGAGTACATTATACTGATATTAAATACTAAACTGCTATTTTTTATTATTTATTTTTAATCACAACAATTCAAATTTCAAATAAAGTTTATTGTTGTTGTTATTTTTAGATCAAAGTTTGTATTTGCTTTATATATATGATAAGTTTTCTTCTTACGTTTAAAAAATAGTTTATTTTTCCATCTTATCATATTTTACTGCAACAATAGTTGTTGTAGTTATAAAAAAACTAAACTAAGTAGTTGATTTTTACAAACCTCCCACTGGCAGTAGAGGCGATACTCTGATTTCATTATTATGGCGTAAAATTATATTTTTTTATCAGTTTTTTTTCCTATTTAATATATGTAGATAATAATAGAGCAATTTATATGAAGAGATACTAGAGAATTTGTTTAAAGAAATGAAATAGAAATGTAAGATTTTTTATTAAATTGATTTAAGAGGATCTTCTCTGTTATACGAGGTACACTTTTAACGAATTAAAAAATATATCGTTTTCTCACTGAGTAAAAAGCAATTAGTCGAGTTTATAGTCTAGTATACAATCTAGTCTCTAGCATAGGCTGCAGTCGGAACTTCAGAATAGTCTACATTAGAAGTAGAAACAAAAAAGTCTCTCGAACAGTCTGTTATTTATCAATAGTTTAGTATATACTCTAGTCTATAGTCTAGTCTATAGTCTAGTCTATAGTCTAGTCTATAGTCTAGTCTATAGTCTAGTCTATAGTCTAGTCTATAGTCTAGTCTATAGTCTAGTCTATAGTCTAGTCTATAGTCTATTCTATAGTCTAGTCTATAGTCTAGTCTATAGTCTAGTCTATAGCCTATTCTATAGTCTATTCTATAGTCTAGTCTACTTTATAGTCTATTCTATCATATAGTCTCTAGTAACATCTTTAGTCCATACTTTAGTCTATAGTCTAATGTTTTGTCTAATCTAAAGTCTAGTCTATAGTCTATTCTATAGTCTAATCTATAGTCTAGTCTATAGTCCAGTTTATAGTCATGTCAATAGATAAGCCTTGTTTATAGTCTAGTCTATTCTATTATCTAGTCTCTAGTAACATCTATAGTCGCTACTTGTCTAGTCTACAAACTAGTTTAAAGTCTATTATTTTACCATTTTATGGTTTAAAATTTAGTCTATTATAAACTCTACACTACTTGTCTATAGTCTTATGTACAGTCAATACAATAGTCTTTAAACACAAGTTAATATCTAGCACAATGTAATAGAAATTCTTATTCAGACCTATTAATCTCTATAATATATTATAATTAAAAAGTTTTGTCCAATATACTAAATGTACCATGACTCAATAGAAACAAATAGAATATGCAATACACTTTCCTTACAGAAACAAAGCAAAAACATGCACAAGCATTTAAGAAACTATTTAAACAATTTCTCTCGTCCATAAACAATTACAACAAAAATATAAACAATTATAAACAATAAAATGCAAAATTTAAAATTTTAATAAAAATTTGTTTAATTAAAACGGTTTGTGTTTGGAAAATTGTGAAATCGTGCTCTAGGATGGCAAATTCCAATAAGATTTGAAAAGAAAAAACAACAGGAAAAAGAAACTTTCTATAGCTAATCAAAAGCAATTTGTTCCACAAATCTAATGCTGCAGATGATTATAATGATGACGACAACTTTGAAAACCAAAAAAATAAATAAAAACACACAAAATCAACAGCTATAGAAAAGAGGCGCAAGTGAATTTGTTGCACTAACAACAACAAAAAAACAAAACTGCAAGGCCAAATTTACACACATACAAAATAGAAATGAAAATTTCAGGGTCAACAAGTGAAACTCGAACAAAAAAACTTGAAATAATTTTAACAATTGTTGTGATTTAAATAAATAATTTAAAAACAATATTTGTACTTACGCTACTAAGATTAAGGTGGTCACTATATTAACAACTAAACCCACTATGGTTATTAGATTTGGAGCCAACCATAGCGGTGTCTTGGACACCAACCAATTCCACCAGGGCTGTAGCCAAGGATCCATTAAACTTGAACTGCTGCATGAGTACTTATGTTCGGACAATTTCTTCAATTGCTGTGGTGTGAGTATGCGGTCTTTGTAGGCCATTGTTGTTGAATAAATAAAATAAAAACTGTATTTTCTTTTATTTTATGATGATTTTATCACTCCTCTTTTTTTTTGCGTTCTTTTTCTCTTCCACCACTACTCACTCTCTTTGACACTTTCTATATACAATTTTCTTTATATTTTCTTTACTATGAAGTGATTTTTTGCTTATAATGATTTGCATAAGATGGGGCTTAAGCAAATTGCGTTTCTATAACAAAAAATTAAAAAAAAAGAAATTTTTGTTTTATTTTTTTCAAAAAATTATTTACTTTAATTTTTTTCACACATTTTTCTTATAAATTTGCACTTGTTATATATTTCATACGCTCACTAAAATTGCACTTTTTTTACCTTCACCCTTTTTTTATACACTGCTCAACCCCCCTTTCGTTTCTTATAAAAAAAAAAGTACAAAATTTCTTTTTTTTCCTTTTCTTTCTATACTTCACGTGTTTGATTTTGTACTAAATGGTAGTTGTTTTTGTTAGAAAATTTTATTGTAGATTTGCTTGTTAAATTTATTTTATTAAAATATAGTTATTTCTTTTATTAATATTGCTTGCGTGTGATTTTTGTTACGATTTTCTGTATTAATTTAGCCGCTGAAATTCTTCTTTTTCGCTTTTTTCACACATTTCTTCCAACCGGACAGAGAGCTGACAATCGTATGAGAATTTTTTTTTTGTTACAGATGTCAAAAAAAAATGTATGTATGATGTGTCAAAAAAGGGGAGGAAGTAAACAAACCGAAGAAAATTTTGTTAATTTTAACAGAGTTGCATAAAAAGGTACTAAGTTTGGTAGTGTTTATGGGAATATTGCATAAATGTATTAAATATACCTAGAAACAGAATGGAATAGGATCAGTTAGTGTTAAATATAGTAAATAACTTTGTTTCAAGCAAAATAACTTTCAAAATATATGCTAAAAGGTAATTATAAACAATTTAAACGTTTTTCGGTTTAAATTTTTGTTCTGGATAAATAGAACCAAATTTTAGTTACAAAACAAATAAAATAATCACATTTATGGTTTATAAGATATTACATTTTTTGCACTTTTTCTTTCTTCAAAAGAATTTTCTATAATATTGAACCTAGAGGCATAAAATTAAACATTCCTAGTTCTGAGTGGACAAAAATCTGTAGGAAGAGATTTTTGGTACTTTTTCGTTATTCAACTGGTACTTTTTAGTTTTTTTATGATAAAATGAAAAGCTATAAGAGTGACTCTTTTTCTTCAACTGATGCTTTTTAAATCTTTTATAAAATTGAACTGAGAAGCCCAAAATTAAACACGCAGCATATTGATTGAATGGAATTCTATAAAAGGAAGACTTTCTGTCATTGAATTGGTATATTTATGATATTCTGAATTAGGGAACCTAGAAACATAAAATCAGACTTATAAGATCCTGATTGAATGAAAATCTATAGGATTGATTTTTTTTGGTACTTTTTGTTCCACAAATGGTACTTTTAAATATTGATTGAATCAAAATCTATAAAGGGGAGTTTCTGGTGCTTTTTCGCCTTTCAAATGCTACATTTTGGATTTTTTCAAATTGTTAAACATACAATCTTACATATGGAATCCGGATGAAATGAGAATTTATAAGAGTTTTTGGTACTTTTTTGTTATTTAAGTCGTACTTTTTGATTCTTTTTTCTTATTAAAACTAGAAACATAGAATTAAAAACGGCATTTATTGTACTTCTTCGTTTCCAACCGTTTTTTTCTTCTTTGTAAGTGCCGGTCCACACACAGAAACTTTAGTTGAGAAACTTTTTCTTAATTCTCTTTTAAAGTTTCCTTAATGTCTACACATAGAAACTTTTGTTTCAGAAACTACGTGTTAATTGCATTGATTTGTTTTTGTACGAATGAGAAGAATAACAAAACAAATCGAGTTTCCGAGTACGAGAAACTTCGCGAGAGAGATGAATGATATTTCGTTCTCTTTCTCTCTCACGCAAAATCAAAAGTTTCCCAAAAATAGTTTTCTAGTGTGGACCGGCAGTAATAAAACACTTAAGCAGTTTCTAACTATAAATCAACTCAAAAGCTAAGGTTCTACGATTTTGTCAAATTTCTTTACTAAATCTTTATTAGTTCCAGAAAAAATAAATAATTTAAAAAAAAAAACTTAGAATTTAAGTTTTAGTAACTTTTAACATCTTTTCTGCTTTTGCCGCTGTTCTTTTGTTCATAACTAGTTGGCAGCACTGTAACAATTAAAAGGTAAACAAATATGACTGTTTCATAACTCAAACCTTTTGTATATAACATGAAAAAGTACAGCAAAAAGGTTTGTAACTTTAATAAAATCTAGGTATTTAATACGGAACTTACCTTTTTTTTATAAATTATAATTAATGCTCCACTTTACTTTCTTGATTTTATTTTAATATATATAATTTTTATTTATTATTTTATTTACTCACTGATCAGTTTATTTTTTATTACTAAACACATGTGATGATTTTGTTTATGCTTAATAATTATGAATTGTATAAGTTTGTAGATGTTTTTTCTTGGATGTTTGTTGTTATTTATTTATTTTACTTTTATTTTCAATATTATTATAATATATTAATTATTATAAGTGTTGATCATTACTAAAAAGTGCAATTATTTTGTTTTGTTCTTGTTGTTGTTTTGTATAGTGATTAATTTAGTTTTTTTTTATATATATATGATTAATGTGTTATATGCAGAAAATTAAAGTAAACTTTATTTTAACACCTAAAAAACTAAAAATTAATTTTGGTTTTTAAATAAAGGAAATTTAATTTCAAGAGTTTTTTCTTTTTTAAATGAACACTAAACTACAAAATTTGTTGTAAATGCTAATTTTTTATGATTTTTTTTTAATATTAATTTTTAAAGAAAAGTGATGTTTTAGTTCACGTTTCCTAACTACTTGGCATTTTTTTAATTTTAATGTTTAAAGTTATTTATTTATTTTTAATAATAATGCAGGGTGAGTAGTTTGCTTTTTATATTTTGGCAATTTTTTTATTTATTTATATATAAGGGATGTCTTGTTTATTGTGTTTGAAGTTGTGTTTTAAAAAATGTTTGTTTGTCAGTAAAATATTGGTGTTTTTAGTTTACTTTTTTTTTAATAAGTTTTATGATTTAATTTTTCAGCTGTCTTGTCTCTTAAAGATTTTATTTTATTATTTTGTTGTTTTTTATTTTTATTAATCCCTATATAAAATTCCTTGTTTTAAGTAAATAAGTGTTCTTTTTTTTAATTTTAATAAAAGCCAATTGTGTTTTTTATATTTTTAATTAATTTTTTTTTAAATATCTTTATATTTTTTATTAAAACAAAGAAAAACTAACTGAAAATTGTTTTATTTATATAAAATTTTTGTTTTTATTTTTAATATTATTAAAGATTATATCAAAGGCATTAAACATATTTTTTTAAGCAAAATTTTTAAGTTTTTTTGATGTTATAAAAGAAATTGTTTGAAAAAATAAAACAAATAATAAATATACACACTTTTTTTTATATATTTTATTATAATTTTTTAAAGAAATTTTTGTTTTTTAATACAAAATTAAAAAAACACTTAGTTTTAAATAAAAAATATTATAAAATAGCAAACCCTATTTGTTTTTTTATATTTTATAATTTAATTATTTTTATAAATATTTTTGTTTAGTTTTTTTAATAATATTGCTGCATGCTGGTATTTTATAGATTTTTTGTTATTTCAATATTTGTTTACTTTTAGTATTAAATATCATCTACAGATTTTAATTTAAATTAAAAAAGTTTTACACTTAAAAAAGCATAAAAAATACACTTTGGATTTGAAAAACATAAGAAATTTCCAGATTATTCAAAATTTAATTAAAAGAACCCAAAGTAAAGAGGGTTATAAAGTTTTTAAACAACTAAAAATGTTTCTAAACAAGCAAAAATGTCTATAAACATGTTACAAAGTTGTTAAGCGTGAATGTGTGTTTATAAACAAATATATATGTTTACAAAGAAGTGAAATTGACGTAAACAAGTTTGCAAATTAGATGAATAGTTTACAAACAATTAAACATGTTTATAAACTTGTATAAAAGTTGCAACAATATTTCTCAAAGTATGTTTCTAAACATGTATCTAAACAAGCTAAAGATTTTAGAAAGTTTGAACAAATTTTCAGGAAACATTTGTAAAATTTTCTAACAAATAACATTAAACATTTAATAAAATTATAAAAATCTATTTAAAACATGTTGACAAACATTTATTAAATGTTTATAAACATAATAGAAAGGCTTTTGAATGTAAACTTTTAAAACATTTTATTAAGACTAGTCTATAGTCAAGCCTATAGTCTAGTCTATAGTCTAGTGTATAGTCTAGTCAATAGTCTAGTGTATAGTCTAGTCTATAGTATAGTCTACATTCTAGTCTATAGTCAAGTCTATAGTCTAGACAATAGTCTAGTCTATAGTCTAGTCTATAGTCTAGTCTATAGTCTAGTCTATAGCCTAGTCTATATCCTAGTCTATAGTCTAGACTAGTCTATAGTCCAGTTTATAGTCTAGTCTATAGTCGATTTGCATAGTCTAGTCTATAGTCTAGTCTATAATCTAGTCTATAGTCTAGTCTAAAGTCTAGTCTATAGTCTAGTCTAAAGTCTAGTCTAAAGTCTAGTCTAAAGTCTAGTCTATAGTCTAGTCTAAAGTCAAGTCTATAGTCTAGTTATAGTCTAGTCCATAGTCTAGTCTATAGTCTAGTCTATAGTCTAGTCTATAGTCTAGTCTATAGTCTAGTCTATAGTCTAGTCTAGTTTATAGTCTAGTCTATAGTCTAGTTTATAGTCTAGTCTATAGTCTAGTCTATAGTCTAGTCTATAGTCTAGTCTATAGTCTAGTCTATAGTCTAGTCTATAGTCTAGTCTATAGTCTAGTCTGTAGTCTAGTTTATAGTCTATAGTCCAGTCTATAGTCTAGTTTATAGTCTATAGTATATGGTTGAGCCTATAGACTACTCTATAGTTGAGTCTATAGACTAGTCTTTGGTCTAGTCTATCGTCCAGTCTTTAGTCTAGTCTATAGTCTAGCCTATATTTGAGTCTATAGTCTAGTCAATAGTTGATTCTATAGTCTAGTCTATTGTTGAGTCTATAGTTGAGTCTAGTCTATAGTCTAGTTTATAGTCTAGTCTATAGGCTAGTCTAGAGTATAGTCTTCAGACTAGTCTATAGTTGAGTCTATAATCTAGCCAATAGTTGATTCTGTAGTCTAGTCTATAGTTGAGTTTATAGACTAGTCTATAGTTGAGTCAATAGACTAGTATATAGTTCAGTCTATAGACTAGTCTATAGTTGAGTGTTGATTCTGTAGCATAGTCTATAGTTGAGTTTATAGACTAGTCTATAGTTGAGTCAATAGACTAGTATATAGTTGAGTCTATAGACTAGTCTATAGTTGAGTGTTGATTCTGTAGTATAGTCTATAATTGAGTTTATAGACTAGTCAATAGTTGAGTCTATAGACTAGTATATAGTTGAGTCTATAGACTAGTCTAGTCTATATTAGAATCTGTGTTTAGTCTATAATCTATCCTATAGTTGATTCTATAGTCTAGTCAATAGTCTAGTCTATATTGTAGTCTATAGTTGAGTCTATAATCTAGTCTATAGTCATCTACTTTAATGTTTA